TTTAAAAATGAATACCCTGATATCCTACTTAAATGCAGGAAACTTAAGTAAAGACAACAGAAAAAAACGGAGAGCAAGGAACAAAAAAAAAACTTCTGAATTTTGGGGGAAGAACCTGAATCAAGTAAGATTATAGGGCAGGATGTTTTGTTCTGGTTCACTATTTCTGTCCGTATGTTTAGTTTTGTTTATTGGTATGTTGCTGTGTGGATAAAAGAAGCTGTGTAAAGGAACAATAAATTATGTGATAGAAATAAAGAAGTCATTTTGAACAAGAGCTTCCCAAAGTTTTTAGAAAGGAATTGAAGAACATTTTCTTTAAAAGAACAAAGCATTTTTCAGTAGGGAAAATAATTGCTTACTCTGGAATGTGAGCTGGGCACTGGATAATGTGAGCTGATCTGTAATTTAGAAAATAGCAAAGTATTTTTCATGAGTAATTATTATTGTTAGAGCAGAACCGGGAGGCCCCTGGTGAGAGCAGGGCTCTCGTGCCACGTCCTGTGTGTCTAGCAAGAGGCAGCCACCGCCTTGGAAACCTCGCAGCAAAGGTGGGGCAGGCAGAGGAGGAGGAGGAAAGAGGTTGAGGCACCGAGGGCTGAAGGAGGCAGCCCAAAGTCTTGCTGCTCTCCACTAAACCCAGGGTTCCTAAATGCTAATGGACATGGCTGCCTCCTGGGGATAAGTTGCCTGTAGGCACCACATGGGGGTTTGTTGGGATGGTCACCTGTCACCTTTTCATAATCTGGCACCCCTCATCAAGGAGAATGGCCATGGTTCACAGCTGGGTCTTGTAAGGCATCAGTGTATTTCCCTGCCATTGACCTACGTGAGAGCAGAGCACGGGAAGGATCAGTGCCTTGCACAGGCTGCAGAGCACTGGAATCTGGGTATGAAGCTCCCCCGTAAAGCGTAGGCTAAATTCTGCGTAGTGGGGGCTGTAGGGGAGAATATACCTTCTTAGGGCTGTGTGATTTGATGGTAAACTCTTTGGTTGACTTTAATGCAGTCAAATGACTGCGTGGTGCTTTAAGTCCAAAGCATGTACTTGTGAAGTAAATCAGTGTCGCTAACATATTTTTAGTGTTAATAAAATTTTTGGTTTGGGAGGAAAGACAAATGAAGAGATAGAGTGGAATAAGACCCCTTTAAAAAAGTGATTGCTGAATCCTTCTCTTACAGAAGGGGTTTGGAATTTTGTACAGCCTAATATTATATTAGAGTTGAGGTTAAAAGCCATGTCTTGAGAAACAGTTTTTGTCTGTTTAATAGATTTGTGCCTTAGTTCAAGGAGACATGAACATCCTTCAATTGGAATAGGTGTTTTTTTAGTATATTAGGTATTAATTTTGTCTAGAAAGGTAGTGGTCCTGCTTTGCTCTTTGAAATGCAGAGGTCTACAGCTTTGCTAACTGAAATAGGGGTCGGTTTTACCCTACTTGATCAGTAGTATTTTGCCTGGTTTGTAGTCCTACGCCCCTCTTTGTGATTCTAGGGGTGGTTTTTTGGTTATGATCCTTTGAGATAGTACCTGTAGTGAGTGAGAGACAAATAAAACTGTTTGTCAAGCTAGCACTTATATTATTTCTTGTCCCTGAAATAAAGGGCATGTCTGGTGGTTCCTTACCACCATCAGGTATGCACAGAGGAAAATCATACCAATTTACACTTTATTCTCCAAGCTAACAGAGGTAATGGGGAAAAAATGAACACTTGAAATTCACAGAGCCGTTTGTCACAGCTCTGCTTCAACAGGTAAAAATATATGTAGGGTTTTGGAGTTGGCAGAAGGGGTCAGAATGTAGGAGAACCTGGGAGCTGTTTGGTTGCAGAGCAATGAATTCCTCAGGGAAGCCTCATCATCCTGGTCTTTCCACATGGCCCTGTGGGACACAGAGGAATTAAAAGGGAGAAGGGAAGACTAACTGCAAAACAGAGATGCATATGACACATGTTGAATTTGTGGCACAAACTGGACAAAGTCCTGGCCTTATCCATGGTAAGGCTTGATCTGCCATGAGATTATTCAATTTCCCTTGCTTTCACTAGCATAATATTCACTACAGAATGACTGGTGACGTAATTTAGTGCTATCTGGGTAGTCAATGCCTGATATACAAGTAAGCTTAAGAAAGGAGTGGATTCAGTATCATTCATGAGGCTGTTTTTCAGAAGTATGAAATGTTAGTTGGCATTTATGAAAATATTCACAAGTCACAAGAATTTCATAGACTTTGTCCTTAGTTGGTGCTATAACATTTCTATAATTTTCTTCTCTTCAAAAAAGTTGTCATGCAGCCAAAAAGCAAAATGATACCATGTCTCAGTGACTAAATACCAAGAGCTCTGCTGATTCACTGGAGTTTCTGTATAATTCACATTTGACATTTAAGTTTCTCACCGCTAGTTGTTTGTTCTTTTATCCTTGGGATGACTAAGAAATAGGAGCAGTCCAGAGGCCAAAGCACAGTAAGGACTAGACACCTACCTTTTACCACAAGGTAAGCACCTCGAGGCCAGGCAGAGGTTCTGCCTGATGCAGAGTTAGACGTGAGTCTCTGCTGTGCTTTCACCCCGGCATTGCTCCTGCCTCCGCAGTGCCTCCTCTTTGCGCTTTCATCACGGGGCAGTTTATGGGAGTGCTACCCAGGGACAAAAAATGCAGCTTATTTTTTTAGCAGGGAAGACAAGTTGTTTGGTTCAGCATGGAAAACATGATTTCCATTCACACAGACTTAAAAAGAAACAGTAGGAATTCTTGAGATCTTGATTATCATGGTATAATCACATTATCAGAGAGATTAGAAGCACTTTACTGTATCTTTATGGTTCTAGTGACGCTAAAAGACACTGGACAAAATCAAGTGCTGTTAAAATCTTTCCTGTAGGGCACTAAGGTAAAAGAGTTTTTTGCCTGTAGACCCTGAAATCGGAGAGAGCAAGTTTACTTCTTCCGTCAGGGTGCTGCAGGAATGAACACTGGCAGAACTTGTAGTTACCAATCCATCCCATCCCATCTGCCATCCTGTATTCATCAAAGAAACTTGCAACAGCAGAAAAGAGAAACCTCCTAAAACTTTAATTTCATATCCGTTCCAGTCGTTGTGAAACACTGTCACTAAATGGGCAGTCATGATAATTGACTATGAAAGTGTAGGCAACTCCAACAGATGAGGAATTCACCTTCTCGGGTCCTGTTCCTTTTTAGGATGGTGCCTGGCAACAGCAGTAATGTGCCCATATTTAGCATATGTCTCTCTCCTGCTATGTTGCCTTAAGGCAAATAGCCTACAACCCATGTCTTGTAAGCAAGAGACTGCCTGTAAGACTCTGAAATAGCTTGTGACCATGGGAAATTAAAAAGCTAAAGCTAACACTGGTAGTGAGAACAAACGTGATTTTCACAACATGTTCCTTGTTCCATGCAGCTGCCAAGGACCACCAAAGATTTAGGGATTAGTGTTATGATCATATGGCTCCCAACATAGTGGATTCCATTGATAATTGCCCCAGAATGGAGGGGAAAAAAAAAAAAAAGTAATTAACAGAGAAGCGTTTTCATATAGGAGCCTGTGCCTCTGCAAGCACACACTGCATAGGGTCTAGGTAGAAAAGGTATAGGATGGACTACAGATGCACTTGACCCCTGTTAAAAGGTCAGGATAGAATAATCACAACAGGAGGAGTGACAGAGGAACTGATGCAGTTAAAAAGAAAACTGCTGCTGTAATGAGAAAACATGGAATATATACTGAAATGACTTAGTCTCAACTGATACAAAAATGACACTGGAAAAAGTACATTTAATTATGGTTTGTTTCAATTCTCTGATTAGGAACACTAGGCCTTTTAAACATTAGGCCTTTTTAAATAAACTGCAAAGTCTTTTACCTGCCAAGTCTTGGGCTCAGGCCTCTGTATGTTTCCAGCTGAGATTTCTAAAACCCTTGCAGCAGGGAGCTGCATTCCTTCTGCTGTTTTAAGGAATTAGAGAAATGGAAGGGAAATACACTACCGTGGACCTAAGCCTTAGAAAAGAAAGAGGCAGTGGTATTTTTTCTTTCTTTTCCATTCTTTATCTTTTAATGTAATGCTTAATTATTTGCATTTTAACTTAATCTAATCCACTGAGTGTCTTGCCAGCAGTAGGCATTGCCCTAAACTGCTGTTTCTCTGACTCTGCTGGTCTCTTCTGGATTCTCTCAAAATTAAGCGACTGAAAAGTAAAAAGCATCAACACAAAACTCTGTTTTAAATATTCAGCTGCCAAGAGGCAGATTCTGAGACTAACAAAAAAAATCAGAACATCTACTGCAAGGTTGCTTTATTATTGGCCAGTTACAGAAACAAGCACCAGGCTCCTCAGCACATCTCTAATGACAGAACCATAAATGCGTATCAGTCACATATGAATCTCTGCAGATGTAGAAAAGATTGCCATCTTCGGGTGGTGCTTAGTCATAGCACTCTTCTTTTCTGATAGAGAAATCATAATCCACACCCTGGCTATAAGGTAGCCAGGAGAGGATGGTTGGAATCCATCTCGGCCTTGAGCTAACCATACTTCTGGGCTGCAGTAATCACAGTGTGCTTTCTGAGTGCATGTGACCTGTCAGCGCCTTGTTCTATCTTTCTCGTGTGCGTGATCTAAAGCATTTGCTTGTGCCTTAGACCTTTCGGACTTTACAGCTTGGAAATAGAGAAACCTCAAAAAGAAAAAATTAGCTTCATCTCAAAATACTGTTATCTTCTCCTGTTCCTGTAGTCATATGGCTAGCAAGAAATCGTCCAAGGAAAGGGTGAGATTTCTTACTCTGACTCATGTCTTACCTGAAATTAAAATAACTCTGCAATCTTTCTTTACCTGAGAATGCACAAGGCAACTTTTAGGAGATCACTCCTACCCTGAGAACAGTACTCTGAGAGATCACACCTGGATAGGGTAGTTGAAAATGAGTTTGGGAACATGGCACACTGACTAATTTTTCTTGTATATTTAGGGTAGACCAGGACCAATTGGAACTCAAGGACCAATTGGTGCCCCTGGACTTACTGGACCAGAAGGTTTACCAGGAGCGAAGGGTGAAAGAGGAGCAGTGGGCTCCCCTGGACCAGCTGGTCAGAAAGGCGAAAAGGTAGGTTCAACAGAGGCTTTTTATTTCCTTGCAGTTGTTCTATGGGCATGTATATATTTTTGAATGAATAAAGATACTCTTGGCCTATCTGTCAAAAGGTAACAAGAGAAGAGTATTTAAGTAATATCTGTAGAGTTTCCCCTGCTTTTACTTTGAAATGAGAATGCAGTTGCCAAGCTGCTTGGGAGAGTCTGTACCTTGCAGCCGTCCTGGTTGGGTGAGCAACAGCCAGATGAACATTGCTCTTGCTTGTAGAATCTTTTGCTTCACCTGCCCAGAGACAGATGGGTGTTAGTCATAGAATCTATGCTATCATGGGTGATAGCATTTCCACATTTCTAACAGATAACACCAAAATCAATAAATGCAGGTTTTGGAAGAGGCAGATGCTCAGGATAGGAGCTGGCCTCCAACCCTTGAGGTTTATAAACAAATTGTCATTGAGGCAAGTTTTTCTTTTTGCTGCAAGCATTGCTGGTTTTGCACCTCTATTTGAAATAATAAAATCATGGACAGTGTTGGAAGCAGTTTGCATTCACTGAGGAAATGTCTTTCTATTCCATAATTGCAGTTTTTATAGATTGAAATTGATGCATATGCAATACCAACATACAATATTTCTACCTCCTTAGCTCTATACTTAGCAATATACTTCACCTTTCCAATGGCTGTGGTTTATGCTGGGTATTCTGCTCACATGGCCTCTTCTGCTTTTATTTACAAATGTATGTGTATGTACAAAACAGAACCAGCAAAGCAGTATTTTTTTCATTTCAGTATTCATGCCCAGCCGTGGGCAGTCTGAAGCTATCCTCCATATTTCTGGGTGGTGATATCTTGGTACAGACAAAAAAAAACCCGTAAGAATAGCTAAAATTGCTGGTTGATTGGGTGTAACCCTGAGAGTTAAGCTTGTACCAGATTGTTTATTTTCTTGGCACCTTGTTTTTTCCAGATGTAGGAGATTATATTTTTCCTTTAAATTGCCTGATGAAAGCATTCCTGAAACACTCATTTGGCATTCAGTCCCGTTCAGATGCTCAGCTCCTCTCTAACCTCAGGGGTCAGTGAAGATAGAATCTGTGTAACATAGTTTGTTCTTGTTGGTGTTCATAGTTAGTCCAAGACAATAAGTCTTGCTGTAAAAAGCATCTCATGGATGTCTGAAATGTGCAGATTGATAATGGGAAATGTAATGTATACTCTTTATTTTTTTTCCTCAGGGCCCAATGGGAGTTCCTGGGTTTCAAGGCATCAACGGAATTCCGGTGAGTTTACCTATGTAAATATATGAGTATCAGTCACCAGAATCCTAGTCACAACCAAAAGCATGTAAGCACAACAAGACTGTGGCAGCACGTGTAAAATGTGTCTTGCCTGTCTGAAAGGAAATGGCATTTTTTTATTAGTCTACCTGGTGGTTTCACGTTGTTTGGTAGCAGGTTGGGACCCTAGTATGGGATGACAGGAGGCTGAGAAGTATCAGAAGGTAAGCCTGAGCTGCATGGGGATCTACTTCATCTTTGATAAGATTTTTCTTCCAGGATTATGTCTAGAAGACACTTTATCAGAAAATCCTAGACCTAGAGAATTAGGAGGTCAATCAGTTAAAAACAGCAGAGTCTACTGGGTTGAAAGCTACTCGTAATTTATGTTCAACTATCCTATTCTTAAAAGCTGTAGCTTCCTTGATGTCTAGCATGGATCTTTCTTTCCTCAGTATAAGTCTCTTAATACTTACTCATTATGGACATAGAAAGCAAGTTATTCCCCTTTTCTGTGTAGCCGCCTTCTCTGTGATAATTTATCAGGTCTCCTTCAGTCGTCCTTTTTCTGTGGTGTGAAAGAAAACAGTGCATAAAGCAGATGCGCTTCAGAGACTCCCTGTTTCCCCACCAGATAGTGATTAGTTCTTTTTAGGTCTCAGCTTTTCAGAAAGGTAGGAAAGACATAACTGTAGCATTATCCAGATACTAGTGCTAGGTAACTCTTTCTCTGATCATCAGTTTGTTTGTTCAGTATTTATTTGTCTGTTTCTTTCTTCAGAACTTGCAAGTTGTAGTGACAGACAGTTGTTTCCTATACCATAGCAAAATTATGTGCCCAGAGTATTATGACCAGCTCCATTTGCTCTGCTTTTCCCCAGTGACTCTTGCAAGGATGTTTTCTGGTCACTTCAGGGGAAGTTTAGCTGCAGCTGCTTTAGAAGCTGCCCCAAACTTTGTCGCTCCCTTGATACCTTTTAGCTGTTTCCACTTTCTCCTTCTTGCATTAGAGCTCTTTTTTTTTTTGTTTCTTGATGTCATTTTTCTATCTTCCCTATCTTTTCCCTTCTGTCCATGCTCATGCTCTTTCCTATCTTCCCTACTTCCTCCGCTGATGGAAATCTCCAAGAGTAGAGCAATGTTTTCTGACTTCTTTTCCTATCAGAACCTGAATTGTTTTGATAGACTAGCTGAAAATGCAGTTATCCCTGTGAGTGGGTTTGCTCGAGTCCAGTTCCTTCCTGGCCCTTGTCTTCCCCTCCTCTTATCCTTGCCTGTTTTGTCCTGCTCTACTCCCTTGCTGCTATTTTTTTCTTTTCTTTTCCCACCAGCCAGCTCTCCAGCTCTGAAGAGAACAAGCTGTTCCCATAACACTTAATTTATTTGAACACATTCTGGGAACATGCTGTTCTCAGGGTGTTTTTTCAGATGAGGCTCTGGAGAAAGGGGATTCCCAACAATAAGGAGAGGGAAGAGATATGGCCCCAGCCACTGCCAGGTAGTTGGCAGGGGGAGGCTTTCCAAAGAGAGAGTAGTGGGGAGGTGAAGGAAAGGATAAAAGCCTCCTACATATACAGATCTGCTCTGCTTGCTTTATGGTATTCTGCAGGTGGGAAGGAGGCAGATTTTGCTGATTGTGCACAGCAAAATGCTTGCTACCATGGCCCTCCTGTGCCACAGCTGCAGGAAAGGCAAACTAATGCAAATTTGTTTTCATTCTAGATGATGTGATAAATACCTCCATTCCAGGGTGAAAATAGCAAACACCACTGCTTGAGAAAAATATGACTTTGCTAGCCGCATTTCAGGACAGGGAGTAGTTTATCTTGATTATGAAATTCATACAAACATACAGACATTATATGAATGTGTGAAATGCTGAACAAAGGAGACAGAACTCGCTTATTCTGATACATGTAAAAGATAAGTAAAAATACATTGGTATCTCTGCACAAGAATCACCAACCCGCTATGAAGAGAGAGTCCTTGGAGCATACAGGTTAGCGTGGGCTGCTCTATTTTATTAATGGCCAGAAGGCTGCAAGGCCATGAGTCAGATGGGAATCCCACTATTGACCTTATGGGAAGTGGTGTACCACAGAGCTCCCCTGGGGAATGCTGGTGGCAAGTAAATCATGTTATTGCAGCTGGCCTGACAAATCCCTTTGACCTAGTAAATACAGCAGCAGCCTGTGTTTATTGCTCGCCTGTCTGCATCACATGTAGAAGAGACCCTCAAATCCTTAGCCCTGTTCAGGAAGTTTATTTTTTCCCCAAAGTAGAACATTCAAGCACACCTCTGGCAAAGGCTGCAAGTGGAGACAGGAGGCGTATATAAGTTCAAGCTATCCTAGGAGGAAATATTTCTATAAGCTGTGAGCCCTTGGCTGCACCACAAAATCTTACACTACATGGCAAGACCAAGTTCTCTATTTTTATGGCTCTCTTGGAGAAGATGCGGGTGCTGTAACAATGCATGAAATGGCTTATGAAATTTGCTTTGTGTTCATCCTTGATTGCATTTATTTCTCTGATTTTAAATGCTTGTTGAGCTCTCCTTTTGGGCTTACTTTTGCGTTGAGCCTTTTTGATTTAGGAAACAGACCCCTCGGGGTCATGATGTTGGTATACAAGCAGGAGTCAGGTAAAGCAAGCTGTTCAAATTGCCTTAGCTGTCTCTTTTTGTAAGGACAGAGAGCACAAGTGATCACTCAAGCTTGTGTTTTAGCTCAGATCTATAAATTTCATAATATAAACTTAATTCTGCCCATAAGTAAAGACTGTAAAAGTCTCTGCCTTGATCAGTTGAGCTGCTTGTGCTGAATTGGCACATCTGCCAAAACAGGAATTAGGGGAGGTGAGAGCAGTGAAACAATTAACCACCGTTTCTCAAATCAAAATAGCTCTTTTGATAAGTGTTTCCAAATTCCAAGGAAAAGCTTCATTAAGGCCAGACCTTGCAACTCTCAGAGAAGTCAGCTGGGGGTGCTCAGTATCTTCTCTGGCCCTTTAAAACAGGACCTCATAAATTCTGATTGCAGATTGGCTGAAAAGTAGGAAATCCTGTGTTTTTTTCCTAAAGCAAAAGAGAGAACATAGGTAATGTGTGTGTATTTGTACGTGCGCTTGTGCCTACATCATGCTTTGACTCAGAACCACAGCCATGGATTTAAGAGGCAGGGTCCTAGACATATTTAATACAGATAAGGAATGGCTGTGGTCAGTGTGAGTTGTACGCCCTCCTTGCGAGCTCAGTGTTGCCCTCACACAGTGAGAGGACACCAAAAATCTCTAAGCCGCTTAACTCTGACCCAAACAGCCTCTGGGAGATCTCCTCCAAGTCTTTGCTGGGACCTGAGGCCCACCAGCAGCCACTCTGCAGCTTGGGCAAGATATTGGCCCTTCAGCTGGTCAGTTTACCTTGTAACCAAATACCTTGTTCAACATGGCGTCCGTTTCTGTTTGTGTCCTAATCCGAGCAAAAGACTTGGTAGACACTGGCTGTGCTGGCCTCCATGTGCTGTCTCTGCAGGCCTGTCCCATCGGGTGCTTGCTATTCTCTGCTGTGATGTACCCCATGATATGGGAAGGGGGATGGCTATTGCTTTGTTCCAGCTTTGGGAACCAAATGAAATAATTTCTAGGAAACAAAGACAAGTGACAATAACTTGCTGCTTCAGCCTCCCCATATCACTTACGTGGACCCCGCAAGTCCTGGCTTGCACAGCACATAGGGATATTTCCATAAAGGGCTTCAATTACCCAGGCAGCTGCTGCTATCTAAGCAGCGGTGCCCAATGCTAATGCTTTAGCATGATGTCACTCGGTGTCCTGAGACCCTGCCTAATCTCACATTTGTACATGTCTGGAAGAACTACTTTAACACTGTGGTACAGACCTGCTTTTCATTGGTTTGATTTGCACCTTATTGACTTAAAGCTCATCTGAAAGTGACACTTCTGTCTGCAGACTCCACCTCTGCAGAGGTGGACTTTCTCAGTAAGAAACAAAACGGTTCTCAGCTGTGTTGGTTTCCTGTTTTGCCTTGCCTTCACTGCCTGTGCTTGTGCTTGTGCCAGCACAGGGATGGGAGCAGCCAGGAGCATGAGATGGCCCTTCTGGCAGCCTCTGAGACTGCTGATCGCTTTGTGTGTTTACGCAGCCATGGCCTAAGTTGCTCTGCCTCCTTGGGCAAGTCACTCTACTACTTTGTGCCCCCAGCTTCTCATCCGTGAAATGAAGATTATAGGATTCTCACATATTTACAAAGCATTTTAAAATCCTTAGATAAAAGGCTTTACGTTACTGAAAAGTTCTCACTGGATTTGGTCAGACAATGTGCTATTGGCTCAGGCTGAGAAGACCTTTAGCAGCACAAATCTGATTTGTTTTAGGTGTCAGGCATGAAGGACTGCTAACATTCTGCTTTATCCCCATTTTATCCTTGTTTATTTTTACTTTCTTTGTATGAGTCATAGCTTGCTTAATGCCAATCATAAAGACGAATCTTTAGGATCAACCAAAAGTACTTCTGGAATAATTCCAGATCAGGGTGTGAAGAGAAAAAATAATGACAGTTACTAATACTATGTCCATAAATTTCATTGCTCTTCCTGCCACAAAATGCTACCTTTGAATGCCACAAAGCTTATTTCTGTCAAAAGAAGGATAGAATCAAGAGAAACCCAATAGTCAGGTAGTATGATTGACACTTCTGCCTTTTACCTGCACATACATATATGTTACTGAACCAAAAAAAAAAAAAAGGTCAAACTTTGGTCTTTTTCACACCAATATAATGCAAAATAAGACCAGTGAAGTTAATAGAGCTATATCAGGGCAAAATGGATATGAAATCAGAATTCAGTGCATTTTTTTCTACTCTGATTATTAACTGAACATTAAACGTATATATTTTTGAAGACAATCAGTACCTTCTTTAATTCGCTCCTTCTCCCCATTGCTTTGCCTAAGATTTTGAGGCAAGTTTAACATCAGGAGAAAAATTGGTTTTGTTGAACAACCTGGTGCTGGAGCTGCAACATCTGCTGAGCTTTTAAAGGAAAGAATTCACACCGGAGAGGAAGAGAAGTCACTGAAACGTTGACTAAATTGTGTTATAAATGCTCAGTATTGTTGATCCTTCCTTTTTCTTGTTTTAACATGAGCAACTCCCAGTAACGGTGTCGGGAGACTCTCTCCCTGACATGCTGCTTTACACTGTTGTATGCTGCATAGCTCAGATTGCTGTGGAATGAGTACTGCCCTTTCAGGACCTGCTCGTGCACGAGATACATACTTCATAGAACTATCACTTGGAGAAAAAGATCCTTAAGTGAATCAAGCCAAAGTTTCAGGATTTAGGCTTCAGGGAGGATAAACAATGCTGGCTAAAGAGGCGAGTTTTATTGCAGTTTGCCATGCACCAGACTTAGTGGGAGTTCTCTTTCCTTTGTTTTCATTGCCATGTGGAAGGTACCAGCTCTCTGAGGACAGTACTACTAACAAAATGTGTCCAGTTAGTCATACTCTTTTTTTTTTTTTTTTTCTCACCTTTACACAGGGTCACCCTGGCCAGCCTGGCCACAGAGGTCTGCCTGGCGTCGACGGCTGCAATGGCACCATCGGGAGTCCTGGCCTTTCTGGATCAGATGGTTTTCCTGGTGTACCTGGGCCACTTGTATGTCCCAATATCAATATGGTGTTTTGTGGTCGCTAAACCAGGAGTTGCTTTTCTTGCGCTACAGATGGAAAAGCAACTTCCAAATACTTGGGAAGAACCCTAGTAACCACAAGGTTATTAGCATTGTTAGAGCTTAGTATCATTTGCTCACTGAAATTCACTACATAAGTATCAATCTCCAAGGATAAAATAGAGGTCACATTTGTATGTGACCACATCAAAATATACGTGGCACTCCTCTGGCAAAATTCAAGCTAACTAAGAGGCGACCACAATCAAGTCTTTAAGGATCATGAAGTGGCACCTTTCGATTAGCAGATGCTAGTTCAGAAAAACATATTTGATTGTTCATATCTAAAACCTGATCTTACAAGTTATATGCGTAATCCCACACACAGTGGAACTCCTTTTTATGTATGAGGTTCTTTTGCAGCTCCATGAAGAAGAAAGGATAACTGACAGATATGAGTAATGCCATTTCTTTCAACTTTTTAAACTATACTGAAAAAATCTTTATATGTTGTCCAGACTTGAAGCTCATATGATATTGAAACTACCTAAACAGTAAGATCAAATTTAAGTACTGCTTTCTAAAGTAACTGGTTTAATCATACCTACTGGTCAAATGTTTGTTTTGTATTGCATGTAAGACTACATTTTTGGCAATGAAAGCTGCTTAGATCAGCTAAGCGCTCTAAATTAAATTGGCATTAAATTAAATGAAATCACCACAGATAAATTGGATGTGATCATTAAGATTAAAACGAATTGGGTAAATCTAGAAATATAGTGACAGTTTTTACTGAGGATTTGTGAAGCCTATCATTTTTTTCTCCTTGAATATTACTCTAAGTAAAATTGAATTATTTACAGTTTTATAAAAGAGATGTATGTAATCAGAAGGGTTGCAGTATATCAGACAGATTCAAATGGGATCTGGAAAGTTTTTGATACCCTGAAATAAAAGGGAAGTCTAATGTAAATAGGAAAATACTGGAGAAAATATTTGCAGAACCATGTTTTTCTAAAGACTTAGGAAAGTTCTTATAATACCACAGCTCCGTTGAGAAAGCTGCTGCAGTACTTTTGCAGCGTACTGGAGCTGTTAGACTGCCTCATTCTTTATGTTAAACATAATTTATCTCAAAACGGAATATATATTTTTCCAGACATTTTTTTTAACATTTATTTTTTAACAGGGTCGTCCAGGTCCTAAAGGTCTTAAAGGAGAACCAATTTTTGCCCAAAGCAGCCTTAAAGGAATGAAGGTAAGACTTGTCATGACCTAGGGGAAAATCCTCATAGGAAAACACTTGGATATCCTGCAGGGCTGATGCTTGAGGTTAGGTTGCTCATGATGGTAGATGTGGATTGCCTGGTTACATCTGAACACAGAGCTGTGAAAAAAAGGCTATAACTTCATTAACAACAACACAGAATATTTTCAAAACTTGGAATTTCTTAGTTCTTGCAGCATCAATATGTCTTGTTCATCCTATAGTGAGATGTAAACATGCATGGGACATTGCTCATCACATTGTATGTGCTTCTAGATGCAGACGTAGCAGCATAAAGGGCCCTCAGCTACATTCAGAGCTTTCCTGTAAGCTGGTATCCTGACATGTGCTAAGCCTCTTGAAGTAACAGCCCCATGAACTCTCAAGTGCTTGCTAAGATTTCTCCTGCTATGAGATCCCAGATGCCTCCCAGTGTTTTCTGTGCTGGAATGGACTAGTAAATAATCAGTTTTATTCTGGATTTAAACATCATATCCCTTCCATAGTGTTCCATCATTTACCATGGTGAAGTAAACATATTGCTCTTTCAGTTTAATAAGGAACTTGCATTGAAATTTCTGTATCATAGCTGTAATTTTATTTCCTGTATGTGATGCCCACTATGGAAAGATGGTCTTAGTTTACTGTTCAGAACAATTGTGTTTTTGAATATTCTCACAGAACAGATTTAGTTCCTTGTTGCTTTGAAATAAACATTCAACAACTTAAAACAGTTTTGATTTTTGCAAGAAGTACTAGATTTAGGATAGAATTATATATGATTCAGTACCTCTTGTGGTGTATTTGGCAGCTTATCCTTAAATAATATGGTTGTAATTTCTGTGGAGTTTTGGAATCTCTCCACTGCCCGTTTTAAAAATGGAAGCATATTTCAAAATATTTTCCTTGTATATTTGATCTAATATTAACAAAGAGCATTTTTTATTTACAAAATTTTAACATGATTAATGTTTTTTTACAACAATGTGTATTTTTCACCAAGATATTTGTAATTTTTAGGGAGAAAATGGTCTTCCTGGGTTGGATGGAATTTCTGTAAGTTTCTTAATTTGAGGAATAATGATTTTAAGGAATATTATATTAAGTAGGATTTTTTTTCTGGTCACTTGAATTATGTAAATTATTTCCTAGTATTAATTCTCAAGGGCACCTTTTAAATTAGTGGGCCATTTATTTACACATGATACGAGTAGTGTGAATACATCCAAGTTTTCCAGTAGTATGAGAAGATCTAAATTATGGTAGAGGAAATCTTTTTTTTTTGCTAGTACCTATTTTGGTTTTCCTTTTAAAATCAAGTGATTTATCTCTGTAACTTTGACTTTCAAAATAAATCTAAAATTAATCTAATGATATTTAATAGATTATTATAGAATTTAAATTGGGATACCTAATTAGGTGACATTGTTTACATTTTCTGAAACTCAATTTCTCTTTGTCTGGGATTTGATGAGGCAGACCTTAGTTCTCCTGTGTTCTTTGCAATTACTTTCAAATCATTGAGGCATTTGAAGGGACATTGCCCCTGACAATTCATATTATGCAAAAAAAAAAAAAAACTTTACAAAAATATACAATAGAGAAAACCTCTTAGCCTTGTTATTGTTACCTCCAGCAATTTTTGGAACACCCTAGTATGCTGATTCAGTGGCTTTCTAAGTATTGAATCTCTTAAGTACTTTCATAACGCTTTTTTGAAGCCAGTAGATAGAAAAATGCCCAGCAGCTCGTCCAAGATACTTGCTATCTCATGTGAACCTCTCAAATGAACAGAATTGATTTTGATTTGGTATACTTCACATGAAAAAAGAAAAGTGGAGATAGAAGTTAACAGAGATTAGGAACCAGTGGAGTGAAGGTGACAATACTGACTACTGACTGAGAAAAAGGGTTAAAATTTGAAACTTCCTCTTACAGGGACCGAAAGGTCTTCCCGGTCCTGTCGGTTCTATAGGCCCTATAGGTTTGCCAGGTTTGCAGGTAAGAAAATTTGTTGCACTTGTTGATAGAACAGTTCAAGATGTTAGTGATTTTCCACCCTTGTCTATATTTATGTCATAATAAGGAGCAAGAATGTGTGCGTCTAAAAGGTTTGTGCACAATTGACTTCAAATGTAGAATACTTCAATTGCAAATTTTGAGCTGGTTGCAAGAGTGGAAGTTCTTTTCTAGAGTAGTGGTCAGAGCAACACTTGTGAATGAGAACTGCAGCAAGGCCCTAACATGCCGACCCACGGCACTTGGCTTTACTGTCCTGAGCGCTTCCAAGTCTCAGGAATAAAAAGAATATGCTGAGTTCTGCATGCTTGGAGCCGTTGTCCTCATGACATGTGCTGATGAGTGGTCTCTTAAAGATACCAGAAAAGACTTTCCACTGGGCAGAGGTAAAAAACACCTATTTGAAATGTTTGTTGTTTTTAAATTGAGGCTTACTTTTAATTAGGCACAGTGCCAAAGGAGCATGCTCTCTGTACTAGTTATGAATGTTTAAAGATATACTTAAAATGTATCACTTGCTTTGATCTGTGTATATGAGGTGAGAATTTGGCTATCGTTCCTATTGTGCACATACAGCTTAAGTCAAAAGAAATAAAATATTGATCTTGTTCACACTTAGGGTCCTATGGGTCCCCCTGGGCCACCAGGTCCAAAAGTAAGTACCTGCCTTTTCTCTTTTCTTTCTCCTTTCCAAACTTCCATGCCCACCCCTCCTCCCCCCACCCCCGCACTTCCAGTCAGGGTTGTGGCCCTAGGTGACAGAGATGCTGTTGCTGTGGCTGTTTGCTCATGACTATTTTTTCCCATAGGGTAACATGGGATTAGGCTTTCAAGGAGAGAAAGGAGAAAAGGTAGGTGAAATGTGGTATGAAATAATACTGCACAGTTCTACATGTGTAGTCTAGATAGTGTTCCATCATAGCTAGGCCCTCCCTGGTAGATGGTTTAATCCTATCATTTTCTTCTTCTACTTTTCTGCTTTTGGACAGAGTGACAGCCCAAATACTGACCATTTTTGCTGGTTCCTTATCTGTTGTTTTACAAAGAAGTGATGGGAGTTTTTCCTGAGCGAAGGGGGGGAAAAAAAATTCACTACAGCTTAGTGTTCCCATAGCCATCCAAACATAAGGTCCTTTGCCTCCTCTAAGATCTCTGTCTTTCAGTTTCTTCTGCTCCTTGCCTTTTTCTACTAACTTACTCTGTTTTTTCAGAATACTCTTTAAGTCAACTGGTATGTAATTTTATAGTTACAACCTCCTAAATGGTGGTCCTGTGTAAGGACTTATGCTAGCATAGTGGGACTTCTTGCAGTTTTCACTTTGGAGCTTGGTTCTGCTGCTGTTAAAATCAATCCTCGGTATTCTGTATCTTCCATGTGTAATGAAGGAGAGGAACCTTGTATAAGTCAGGACATTTTCCTGCCTCTCTTGATTTATTAATTAACTTACATTATTTATTTCTTAATATTTTATGTCAATTATGTTCATGTCTGTCTAGCTGTCTCTTGCTTCCTTTACATTCATATTTTGCCTCAAAGTTTCTCTGGAGATTTCTTTGTTTTCAGAGTTTCTCTGTTGATTCAGAAGCAGAACTCCCCCCTGCACCCTCCCCTCCATGTTTTATCTTCAAGGTATAAGGGTATACATATAAGAGTTAAGGGCATATATATATATATAAGGGTTAAGGGTATAATTAGAGTGACAATCTTCTGAATCAGAAGCAACTTTTATAGGAAAGCCAAACATGTTCTGTCTATCTTAAAAGCTGCTTTTCTTGCCTGCAGGGTGATGTAGGACTACCTGGCCCTCCAGGTCCTCCACCATCCACTGGAATACTGGAATTCATGGGTTTCCCAAAAGGGAAGCAAGGGGAAAAGGTTTGTAAATTCAGTTTACCAACCCTCTACAAAGGTTGAATGAAGTTGCTGAACAGCGAGGACTGTTATGTTCCCAAATTACAGTAGTGGTCTGTAAAGCCATGTGGGCCAAGTGGCCCCAAACAATCTGTTGCACGTACTAGCTTTTTGCTGAGACATCATATCTGGCATGTGACAAGATGTGAATCAAGTATACATGCTGCTAAATAAATCACAAGACCTTACTTTAGGAGTTAGAAGCATGATGGGTGATTGGGGCAAATGTTGCTTTTATGAGTACAGTGATTTATTGTATTTATCTTCCTTTTGACAGGGTGAGCCAGGCCCTCAAGGCTTCCCTGGAGAAGAAGGATTGCCTGGCCTGCCGGTAAGGATGGAGAATTTGCCTTTTAGGATTTGCCCCATAAAGAGTAGACGCTTGGCAGTTTATGGATAGCTCATGGAATGTCTACAGGAACTTCTAGGCACGAGCATACTTTTAAAATCTGATACAAAAGTTCCCAGGATTTCTCCATGAGTATATAAGTTATTGGCTTTTATCCTGGAGACACAAAGAAGGTACTGCTGTTCTGCAGCAATTACTACACAGCAAGAGTCATTTCAGTACATTTCATTTGCAGTTTGCAGAGGAAAGCTGCAAATACACATAACCTTTATGTAGCCACTTGATGGCAGTGTTTCTTGATTTCTCATAGTGAGCTTCATATATTTTTAAAATCCTATATTTTTCTCCTTATTCTGTTTAAACATACTTATTTGTTAACTAGTCCATTTTAAAATGGTGCACATATAGGTAGACAGACAGAAATGCATGTGCGTTATAATGTCAAAGAAAATAATTACTCACAGACTCAGGATTGTGTAGCAATTTTCCTGTATAAATTACAAATAACAACAGTTTATCTATGGATTCCAGGGAGCTACTTCCCAGCTTATAACCTTTGTAAACACCGATTCTTCAATTGAATTTATGGAGTAAATATTTTATGGAACTACTGACCCGTAAGATAAATTGTTTACTGGTTTCTTCAATATACAGATGTACTCAGTAGAATGACGTGCAAGAAAAAGCTGGGCATATTCCATTATATTTAGCTTTATGCCTCACGAGGCCCATTTAAGCTCGCGAGTTTGAATGTACATGTGAACTTAACCACAAACATTAGATATTTCACGATTGTAACCTGAAATTTGCTTAACTAATGTAACTCTCACCAAAATTAAAGCTGGGTGTTCTATCTCTGGATTTGATACTTCTTACTTCTGAGAAATTATCAAACGTTTCCAAATGTTAAGTGTGAAAATGTTGTTTTCATGTCATCCTTATGCTTTAGAAATGAAAAGGCCTTTAGCCTTCCACTGAGCTGCTTTTAAATGGGGAATGTGAGATGGGCAATGGCAGGACTTTACTGTTTCTAGCAGGGGGTTACTTGTGTTGTACCATGCTCTAAATGAATGGGATTCATGGGGAGTGGGGAAGACAAGACAATGTACTACATATACTAACAGCTCTCTTTGAGATGAGTTTTCTTTCTGGGGCAAAAGAAGTCCAGCAGAATGGGTCAGTTCCCCTAATGCCTCTGTTGTGCTGTTTGCATTAACACATGTGTTTGTGCTCATCCTGACTTAGGGCTATTCAATTCCAGACCAGATCACAGATTTAATGTGTTGTGTTTTTTTTTTTGTTGTTGTTTCCTCCCCCCCGCCCCAGGGCTTTGGAGGTGTTGGAGAAAAAGGAGAAAAGGGTGTTCCTGGCTTGCCAGGTGGCAGGGTAGGTAACTTTACAGTCTTTAGTCTTTAAACTTAACTTTTAGTCTTTAAATTCATGTTCTCAAAATAGTTGTATGAAGTGGAAATTTCATCAATGAAGGCATTTCCTTCTGAAGGGATGTAGATACACCAGCCGAAGGTTTTGGCCCCATAGTAGCTAGCGCCATACAGCAACAGAAACAACAAATCACTCTTAGCTCAGTAAAAGGCTCAGACTAAGGTAAGTTGAAAGATGAATACAAGCAAGACAGTCCAAGAAAATCATGCAGAAATAGTAGAGTCTTGATACTGCAAGTCTGGTATTTTTCCAGTTTTTTTGAAGGCTTCCCAGAAAAGGAAGTTTCTAGGCAGTCCAAATAAAGATAGTAGGAGACTTTTCAGGAGCTTTTAGAGAGCTCTTACTCATTGTCAGAACAGGTCAGGAGAAAACACAGGTAGGTGTTTGGAAAAAAAAACAGGCAAGCTGGCAATGTAGACCAACTGGACAGTGAGGGTGGAAATTAACAGCATGTTCAATTACTCACCAGTCGTGGAGAGATTCTTCAGACCATGACAACTCTGCAGAGACCTGATGTTCGTATGCACACAGGGGACCAAGATATTCTGTTTAGCATGTGCACAACAAATAGTCAAGATAGAAAATAATTGCCTGCTTTTTAATTTCATGGCTTTACACTTAAAAACTACCTAGCTAACTTTTCAGGAAGGTAAGACACCAAGACTTACTTAACTTAAAATGCTTAATTAGCAAGACAATGACTAAAGATTGTGTGAGGTGTTTTATCAGTTACTCTGTGGCATTCTTTCAGTGATGTTTGCTAGTGTTTGTAAGGTATATAAAATCAGTGGTAGTGTCTCCTTTTGCAACTTCTATCGTTTCACTCTTTTGGGCCTGATAAAATAAGAATGAACTGAGATGGAAGTTCTGAAAGTTAAGTAATTCTTTTTTTTTTTTTCTTTTTTCTTCTCTCTCCTCTCTCTCTATTTTAGGGTTTGCTGGGACTGGATGGATCTGGTGGGATTCCAGGGAGAAAGGTAAAACACTGTTTTGAATTTGACTATGTTTCTACCAATTACAGAAGTCACCTAACTACTTAAGACCTACCGAGTTATTTACCTAGTGATTCCAAGTTCTCTGCTTCACAAGTACAGACTGCCCCGAAAAACTAGTGAAAGCTAGCTAGAAAGTCAGCAATATACAAAAGATTTAAAAATAAGGCTTCCTGCTGCAAAGCTCTTGGAATATTTTGTTTTGTCTGCAGTGCCTGCAGGTCTTAGAGTTCATACTAGATGAGGTTCAATATATTACTCTGTAGAGAACAACAGTTCATTTCTGTGTGGATTTCTGGTCACACACTTGGAGTTTCTGGTGGCCCTGGGAATGCTACAGAGCAAATGAATAGCTGGAGGTTTGGATCTCATAGCATCGTTTTGAATGTTTGGGTGCCAGTGTTTCGTTGGAGGAGGGAAAAAATGAAGGGGATTGTATGAGGGGGCAAGGCAAATAGCGTACTAAGTTCCTCACTCCTCAAGCATCTGCAGTTCTGAAAGCTCCAAGGTGCCCTCCTGAAGTACATGCTCTTATACATGTTCCTAAGTTCTCACTATTTTTACAGCACAAAGGGAGGCCTAAAGGACCTCAAGTATTTTGCAAACTAAAAGAGTATTGACAAATGTATACCTCAAGTTCTCTCTTTCCTTGACATGTGTTTCACAGCACAGTGAATTCGGTCTGGGATTCAAGTCCAGGCACTGTCGATGTCTCAGCTAATAAGTAGCCACTGCCCTATTGTTTCACTGTATAACAGTGCTCCTGTGTGTCACTTTGCAGGGGCATCCAGGTGTTCCAGGCTACCCTGGACATGATGGAGTAGAAGGCATGAAGGTAACTTCTTGTATGGAAATACTAAAGCACTGCTTTTGTAATGACATTCACATATAAGCGTCATTGCTCCAAATCTTTTTTTTTTAAACCTCTGTATCCCTATAATTTTTTGTGTTTTTCAGTTCCTCGTTTGCTGTCTTGTTAGGGATGAACATGAATGGTTGCTGTATTGTGAACACAGATATCTTAATGCCTTTGCAACATTCAGTCATGTAACTTCATGACTTATAGTTTTATTTGTAGACTCTCCTGTCTTCTTTATCCCTACACCAACACCGTATTTACTGGAGAGGTGAGGCAGTAGTAGCAGTAGATGGAATTAGGTGGATGTGGAAGATAATTGCTAAGGCTACCTGAAGTCTTGTGTCACTACTTTTCAAGTGTTAACAAGTCTGAGAAGAATGGATCCAACTCACCCCCATATTCCTCATAAGAGAGATATGCAAGAATGAGTCCAACCCATACCCATATTCCTCATGCTGGAGATATGCAATGCACAACAGCCACTTTTGGATATCCAACAGCTTAGACTGCCAGAGACCTGGAAATTGAGTGATCATTGGCCAAAATAGTGGGGTAATATTTTGCTGTGAAAAACTGTGCTTGTAATCTAACACTGAGACCAGTGTATGGTTGGCAGGCATGAGAAATGCAAGTCCGGACAGGCCTTTTCATGCCAAGCACATGGAAAAACTATTCCTGTTTTATGCACACAGCAGTATTCCTGGAAGAAGCAATAAAACGATCACACCCTCAGTAGACTGCATGGTGTTTATATTATAAATTTGATGGAGATTTTGACAATTCTTCTGTCAAAGGATTTAATTCTGTGTTAGAGTGAGAGGCAGAGATGATACTGTGGTTTGTCACAACTCACTTTTTACATATGATTGATTTTATGGAGGAATCCAGCAATTTCCTGGAAGTCCCTGTTACTAAAATTCAGGACCTAAAGGCATTAGGTAACTGCATTGTCGAGTGCTTCAAAACTGTGTTCATTTGTAGCAATTCATTCACTTTTACCACGAGATGAATAAAAAAATTACCTACCTGATGTGGATCAATATCATAATATATGATAGCTGGTCTCCTGTAATCATGATATGCCCACGTTCATGCTTCCTGTGGAGGTAGCAGGATGCATTCGGAAAATAGATAACAGCAAATACTCTGTTAATCAGCCATTAGTTTCATCCTATACTAAGAGCTGATAGTTGTGACTGCAGATGATTGTGAATAGCTAAAGAAGAAAGTGAATCCTTCACTGAGACAAGGAATGATGCTTATGTTGGTGAATGACAACAGACATTGCCACGGCAACCCACCTGCTTTCATGACAAGCAATCCTCCCCCTCCCCACCAACTTTGAGATCTATTGGTCTATGAATCTGTTTTCTTCTACAGGGTGAATTAGGTGACATTGGTCCTCCAGGTCCTCCTATTGTTATTGACAGGGAAGGTGTAGTCATTTCAGGTATTTGTTTCTACTTTGTTTTAAAACTATTTTAAAAAACTTTTTCTCATCCAAGTTTTGTTGTTGTTATACCTTACTCCTTCTCCATACTGTGAATTGGGTCTAAGCCATCCCTTGTTCTACTTCTTTTCAGTTCTGTACTGTTGTCATATAGATACATTTGATTTGATGTATTTGACTTCGGGTTTGCAATAAACCTTTCACTTTCAGTTTGCGCAATATGTTTCCAGGCAGAATGACATGTTTAATGTCTGGGGGCTGACTGTAGATGAGCATGGGGATTATATGTCACCTGTGTGTCTTACTTATCTTTACTAAGAAAAAAAATGGCTTCCTTTTGTCTCTTGGAGGTAGGTAATCTGAATGTCCTCCTTTTAATATTTGTCATTCGGTGTGGTAATCTTGCTGAGGAAAAAAGCTTAATGCCACAGCTGCATCAGGCCTGAATGGGAACAGTCTCTGAACCTATAAAAATGAGTAGACAAGTTGTATGTCCTTTCTCTTCTTCCTCCTTTGCATGCCATCAAGCTTGAAAGAATGTCTAGCAGGAGGAAGTTTTCCTGTCATTATTAACAGTAGCAGGTTCACTGCTAGTGGATTTTGCAGCTTTCATTGTCCCTGAGATTCATGGTCACTGGACATGGTTGACTGAGCTGTCTGTCATGGGTTTCTTTCCCTTGTTTTTCTGTATTTGACTAATAGGTGCTCCAGGTGACCCTGGCGCTCCAGGAATTCCTGGCCCTCCAGGAGATGAAGGAATCAGTGGTTTACCAGGCCTTCCAGGAGCTCCAGGTTTTCCAGGCCTGGAACAAGGTAAAGTATCTGCTAGCAGTGTCCTTAACAGTCTATCTTCTGTGTGTTTGTTGCAGATAAAATTTCAGGTGGCAGCCTTGATGTGCTGAAGATTTATCTTTATTTGAGCTATTGTCTCTCGTTCAGATAGCTGATTTGCAGTCTGTGTGAGAGACAGGGGGAAGGGATGACAGGCAAATCAAGTTTATAGGTTTGGATGGGAGCAGGATTAGTCCCACACAATGAATAGACTTCAGGACTATTCAGGACTTCAGGTGTGACCATTTAGTGCAATGGTATATACAGAAGGTTGGGTTTTTTTGATTTCCATTTTTAGATGAGTTGATTGACAGAACATTTCTGGAAATGGAACTTCCTAAATAATAGAAATTGGTTTTGACTTTTTTGAATGAATTCTTACACTGGCAGATAGAGCTAATGGCTTGGCTAGATAAAACCACTATAAATGGTTTGTCCCATAAGAGGTCTCACTTGAAGAGGTCTGTTTCAGTCAAATGTCATCTGTGAAATCCTGGCCTGGATCCTAGTAATCTGGACCCTAAAAATTGTTAGGGAAATGAATTTGCTCAGAGGCAATCTCTGAACAGAAAAAAAAAAAAAACTAATTAGGATTTAAATACTTCCCCTGTGAAGGCAGCATGTGTACAGTTTGGAGCAGGATGGTGACTCTGGTTAGTAAGTGTTCTTCTGTATGTGTTTGGAAATTGTCCGGGTTAACATAGTTACGGTTCAGACCACAGTGATAAAATCAGAATGTTAAAACCTGGATGCACTTGCTACTGGAGAACTGCTTATTTTGTCCTTGTTGTCTAGATGCAGTGGGCCCTGGAGGATCTCCAGGTATTCCAGGCGTTAAGGGTGAAATAGGAGATCCTGGAAGAGCAACGATTGGTTTACCAGGCAGTCCTGGCAGAGCTGGCTTACCAGGCCTGCCAGGAGCACCAGGATTGCCTGGTCCATCACGTATGTATATTTTTGTATATATTTTTACATGGGTTTCAGGATAAAATCATACAAATAATCATTAATTATTTCTTTGACAGTGAGGATTATTCATCTGTTTCTATTAAAGGCTTAACTCATACCCCATTGTGGTTATGAGTAAGTCTAAGTCTTAAATATATATGTTTAAGACTTTATATATGTATTTATATATTATATTATATATATTTATATACATTTATATATATATTTAAGACTTTATATATATAAAGACATAAATATATATATTTAATTTTATATATATATAT